AAGGCTCTGGGGCTCGGACTCCTTCCAGGGCACTAAACCCTGGCTTTGGGGGAGGCTTCTGTTCCTCATGCTGCTTGTTGGGAGCTGGAGCATGTGGACCCCAAAGTAGCCACCCATTGACAGCACAAGAGGAATTCCGATGAACACATGCAAATGTGTCATTCTTAAGGAATTACAGACTCCCAGGTCTGGGAGGGTGACCTTGCAGATGACCCCCATTTTGCTCAAGCTGCCACCCCAGGCCTGGGCTACTGTCAGGGCTCCATTTTCTCTGTCAAACTGGGCTTGAGGGCTTTTCCAGGCCAATCGCTGTTGGAGGGAGACTGAGGATTCCCAGGGGCCTGACCCCAGTCCCTGCAGGGGAGGGACCGTAGGCCCCAGTCTGGAGATTGGGAGCCCTGTGTCCACGGCCTGCAGCAGCGCTGCCTGTCTGCCTCCCAGGGACGTGTGTGCGGCCATAGCCAAGGCTGCTCTGGGAAATGCTCGCAGGCAGTTCCCAGGGGAAGGCGGTGGGGCCGGAGGTCAGGGGACCCAGACCGAATCCCTGTCGGCCGGCCCGGCCTAGAGCCCCCTCTCCCTGTGAGGGCTCCTGGGGCAGCGCGGTTCGCCCCAGGGAGGCCCCAGCAACTGACGGAGAGCAGCCCGCCCACTCCTGCCTCGCCCCACCCTGCCGACACAGGGAAGCTCGCCTGAAACCGGCCTCAGGTGGGCAAACCCGCACGCCCAGCCGCCCGCCTGGCGCCCCCCGCGTCTCCCACGTGTCCCTGCCAGGAAACGCGAGTGTTTCTGTCGCGGGCTCGTTAGCTTTAGGAAAGACTCCAACTCGTTTGTTAAGGGCTGTTCTCCACAATTCCCAGGAGATAGGGCGAAAACGAGGGGAAGGAAACTGGGGGCGCGGGACCGAAGGTCCCGTCCAAGGTCAGACCCCGCGCGGGCCGCGTGCGGCGGTGGGTGCGGGCGCGGGCCCGCGGTGGAAAGAACAAAAGGCGGCCCCGCCCTCCGCGCCGGCCCGCCACGACCAATCGGCGCGGCCGCTGCCGCCGCCACCCTCTGATTGGCTGTGCAGCGGCCAATCGGGCGCCGGAGCCGCGACCCCGTGCGGCCCCACGTGGGGCGGCGCGCGCAGCTGTCCGCTGGCCGCGGCGGGCGGGGCCGTGGTTTGATCGCGCGGCCGCGGGGACGTGACGGCGACCCGGCCGCCCCGGGACCCCCGCAGGGCGGCGCCGAGGCCTGGGCGCGCGGTGCCGTCGCTGCACGTCCGGGGTGAAGCGACAGGCGCTGGGGACTGGAGGGAAGGCAGGGCGCCCGGGCTTGGCCTCGCAGGTGGGGCGGAAGGAGGGCCAGGCGGTGGCGAGGGATCAATTCATTCATCGATCCTGTCCGTTATCGACGCCGCCTACTCCCGGACCCTGGGGGCGCGAACCGGGCCGGGGGCTGGCCTCCCCTGTGTCCATTAGTCTCCCCTCCGAACTGCTCCAGGCGGGACATACGAGAGTTTTCTGATGGGGACAATTGATACGGTCGTACATTTTCGTGGCACCTTCAGACAGGGTGCGTGAGGAGAGTTGAATAAATGGAAAACACGTGAATTCAAGCAGAGGCGCGCAGTACCCAGGGCCAGCAAGAAAGGGGAGCCGTTACCACCCCAGACCCGAGGGGCAGCTGTGGCTGGAGGAGAGGCTGAATCCAGGAGCTGTGACCTTGGAGAGGGGACACGGCACCTGGAGGGGAGCCTGGCCATACATACAGACCACGCCTGCCTCCCCCCACCCGTGGGCTGCGCAGTGGCCCAGTGTCCAGGCGGAAGCCAGCAGCAAGGAGGCCCACTGATCCTGTGCCCAGTCCGCTTCCGGGCACAGAGCAGGGGCGGGACGATGGGAGGGTGTCTGGCACCTGTCTTGAAGTGTGAATAAAAGCCTCTTAGAAAATGTTTCTGTTTTGTTTTGTGGGCAGTGACATACAATGTAAGTGACACCAATGTGCATCTCAGAGGTAGCCTGGAGATGGCTGGGGTGGGGTAAGCTGAGCCCCTCCCTCCTACAGAACCATCTGGAGCCTCCCTAGACCCCAGGGGGCCTTCCCTGGAGGACTCCCCATCAGCTGGAAGACAGCTTGTGACAAGTCACAAAAGGAGGCAGAACTGCAAATGAGGAATGCCATGTGGAATGCCACGTGGAGGTGGATGATCCTGTTAGGGAATCTCCTTCCTCCTCCAGGCGTCCCTCCTGGATGCTCCATTTTCACTGGGCGCTTGCCTATCTTAGCAACTGTCACAGGGCACTGCTGGACTGCTATTCCCAGGGGCAGGGACTGATCGTGTTCACTGTTGTCCCTTCACGAGGCCCGTGCCTGCCAGGTGCCTGGCAGACACAGGAGGATGAACAGTGAGTTTGCCTGGGCGAGCTGAGGTGAGGGGTGCTTACTCACTCACCAAACCTTTTCTGGGGGGCCTTTCTCTGTCAGGCGGGGCTCAGCCCCAGGGGACCCCAAGGAGGAAAGGCTGTAGCCCAGACTTGGAGAAGTCATGGTCCAACAGTGTGGCCATGCACAGCTTCAGGACCAGGCAGCTTCAGCCGGGGACACTGAGAGGTTCAGGAGGGAGGGGACTCTCGCATAATGGGGATGAGGGAAGTTGGTGGCACTTGAGGTGGCTCTGAAGGGCAGGTAGGAGTTGGAGCAGTGGAGAAGGTGGGGAAGGAGCTGACACTGCGAGGCCCGAGGATGTGGCCTCTGGGGGAGACCTGGGCCAGCACCCTGCCCTCCATCCTCCACCTGCCATAGGTGGTGACAACAGGATTCCTGGGCAGGCTGGGAGGGATGTACGTGACGTGCTTGGCACAGCGCTTGGCAATAACAGGCTCGATGAATAAACGAGAGCTGTCATTATAGGCACTTCTCGTAGCTGAGGAGGTGGTGGTGGGTTTGGTGAGGTGAGCTGCCTGTGTGGGGGCAGGGGGAGGTTTAGGGGGAACAGGCCCTCCCTCGGCCACACTGAGGTTACCCGCATTTCTCCATCCCATGTGGCAGACATCACCAATCCATCAACCGCCCCTCTGCAGAGCCCAGGGTGGCTTCAGACTCCTCCGCCCAGTCTCCAGGCAGGCCTACTAATCAATCACAGCGGGCACATACGATGACCCCGTTTGCTATTCCTGACTCAATTGGCACCACAAGTTGTGATTTGATGGCCTGGAATGAGAAGTGCCAATTCCAGATTTGGCTGCTCCAAGTCCAGGCCCTCTCTGAGCCTGTCACCCGTGTGGAAAGAAGCCCCGGGCAGGTGGACACGGTCATGCTTAGGAGCAGGGAGGGTAGAGGCTCCGAAACGTGTCCCTAAGAGGAGCAGCGTCTGGCTTAGGGATTCAGGATGTTCAAGTGCCCTTGGGGCTGTGGGAACAGCCCGGAGCCAAGGCCAGGGAGGGCAGACAGGTGGCACCCCTCGGGGTCGGGGGGAGAAGGGAGACGGACGTGCCACCAGAGCACAGGAGCACTAGGGCACAGCCTGGCGATGGCGCAGACCCTGCACCTCCAGGAGGGAAGCCCTGTGCCCTGGACAGGAGGGGAGACAGAGGAAGATGACAGGGCTGGTCTGGGGGTTGTGGTGACAAGGCCACCCTGCAGAACCACGCTCCTCCTCCCCACACTATGCATCCTCCATTTGTAAACTCTTCTTAAAAACCTGACAGGCGCGCTAATCTTAACTCTGCAGATCAGTGTGCTTCTCCGTTCCTGGCGTCCACACAACCACCCGCACCGGCTGGAGAGCTGCTCCCTCCCGCCCCTCCCAGGGTGCCCCTACACCCTCCCTGGAGGTTCCTTCCCCCCCCCCATCTTTATGTTTGTACTGACGGAGCCTCAGAGCCCGTCCTCCTGGGGGCCGGCCCCTGGGCCCAGCACAGCGCTGTCCAGCGCATCCCAACGGCTGCTGCTTCTGCATTGCTGCGTGTATTCCGCCCCGTGGACACGGCGCCGGTCACTCCCCAGACTGCTATTAGCGGACACACAGGTTACCGCCACGGTTTGCAATTGGCGTGAACATTCCAGTGTGTGTCCTCAGGGCTTGTGCCGGGCGGTGGGGCCGCACTGCGCTCAGCTTTGGCAGTGACGGCCGGTTCTCTGAGCGGCTACTCCGGCTGCCACTCCCACCGGCCGCATGGGTGAGCTCGAGTGGCCACAACCTGTGCCAGCACTTGGGATTGTCTGTCCTTTCCTGTCGGCCATTTGGGGCTGGGGGGAACACGCTCCCCCTTGACCTCCCCGATGCCCCGTGGACGGGCCGCTTACTCGGGAGCTGTGTTAGCCGCGTCACGGCCCTGCCAGCACGCGCTGGAGCTGCTTCTGGAATTTCAGCCGCAATTCTTTCCTCGTGTCTGAAGCCAGAGTTCAGAAGATGAGGTGTGGCCGGGGGTGGGTAGCTGGATGGCCCAGGGCTTGCAGCAGCAGTTCGAGGTCAGGAATGGGGCAGAGAGGACAACGGGGCAGAAGAGAAGGGCTGGGGGGGGACAGGAGCAGCCAGAGCCATGGGAGCCAAGGAGGGGCTGGGGAGGGCAGTGGTGTGGCAGGTTCAGCCCCCGCTGTGAGGCTCACCTGGTCAAGGTTTACTGGCCACCTGTTTGTGCCCGGGCCCTCAGCAGGGTCTGGGGACACAAAGGTGAGCACTCAGGCAGGGCTCTGCCCTATGTTAATGACAGTCCTGGGCGGTGGCGATGTGCGTAGTTACAGGCTGTGCTGGGGCTTCATGTGGTGAGGGGGCCTGGCCTGGCACCACAGCCTCAGAGACCACAGTGCCAGGAGACTCTCTGGGGGTGTCCCAGCAGAATGGGGGTGCGGGCTGGGAGGAGTGGGGGGGTGAGAGGTGGAGATTGGAAGTCTGGGCCTGGGCAGGCAGGGCTGGTAAGAGAAGAAGAACTATGAGAGACTGGCATAGACTGGACCATACCTAACATCAGTCAGGATTAGATTTGGGCTCCACAGAAATAACGGTGACTTAAACAAGGAAGTTATTTCTTTCCCTTTTACTTAAGGCCTCCAGAGCAGCTGTGGAGGTTCCATAACCACCAGGAACCCACGCTCCTTCTGTCTTGTTGTTCTGCTCTCCCCAAAGATGGCTTCCTTCTTATGACCCAGGATGGCTGCTCATGCTCCAGCCATCACATTTACAGTTCAACCAGAAGCAAGGGAGATGGGACAAAGAAGAGCATAGCCCCTGTGTTTAAGGATGTTTCTTGTTGCACGAGGTTTGCTGTTCACCCTCATTCCCAGAACTAGCTGTGAGGGACACTGAAAATGTAATTTCCACTCTGGGTGCCCAGGTGCCCAGTCACAAGCTGGGCACTGTGTTACTGAGGAGAAGGGGAGGACAGGTCCTGGGGCAATACAGTCTCTGCCTCTACTGGTAACTGGAAGTGAAGAGCTGCTGCTGAGGGCAGATGGCCAGCAGGTCCCTGTCCCTCTCTGCAGAGGCTGTCACTGCTCAGCGCTCAGCCACACCCACCCCCGAGAACCGTCCCGTCTGTGTCTCATTCTCAGACAGGGACACTGGGTCTGAGGGAGGCAAGTGGCCTACCCGAGGACCTGCGGCCAGGAGACAGGCCAAGAGAAGCAGGCATCGCTAAGAACTTTCCAGAACTTCCACCTATCTGGTGTTGGGGGGGACTCAAGACCAAGAGGCCCGCATGGCTCCCTTCTCAGAGACACTCCTTCTCCCCAGGCCCCTCGGTGACCAAGGCTGACACCGCTACCTATTTAAGTAGGGCACAGGTGTGGCCGCAAACCCCTTCCCATCTCCCCAGAGCAGAGTGGGCCGAGCTCCGGATGACCGGGTGGGCCCCGGCGCCGGCAGCCCTCCTGCCCCACAGAGACCCGGCAGGGAGGAGAGAAGAGGCCAAACCTCGGGCACCGCGCCTATCCTGGCCCAAGGGCGGCATCGTTTCCAGTGCCAGAACTGGGTCTTGAACCCAAGTCTCTGATGCTGAAGCCCCCAGATGTCTGCTCTGTCTTCCTGCCTTACGTGTCGTTCAAGTTTCCAAAAGGGCACATGCATGTGGAGACGAAATCAGGCACAAGGTACATGATACAGTCCAATATGGAACCCAGAGCACTCTCTATACACACACGGCTACCGTATGCACACACGCATGCATGGAACAGGACCGGAGACATGTTCTGCAGCTCACCCTGTCGCCTCTCTGGCCGGGGACACCTGCTGAGTGGCTGGGCTGTCATTTCGGTTTGCTTAGGTCCCTGTGACGGACACACGAGATCTTTCGCTGGAAGTCTGTGTGCCGGCGTGCTGTGGGTACTCTTGAGGACGGGTCCCCTCCTTCCTTCCTCAGGCCTCAGTGGGCCCCACCTGCCACCAGAGTATTTGCAGGACCTCAGGAGCCCAGAGATGCTCAGGGCATGGACTGTTGCCATCTGCCGCAGTGGCCTGCCACTGCTGTGACATCCAGCGCTGGTGCACTGAGACCCTTTAGGTCATAGCTGACGCGATGCCAGCCCCAAGGTGTCTGGCACCAAAGGCAGTTACCACCAGGACGGTCAGGGTCAGCCTGGGCCTCCGGGCCTCCAAAGACTCAGCTGTCATCGGAGTTCTGTCTTTCCACTCGTCTCCCTGCACTGCTTCTCTCTGCGTGTTGGCCTCCTTCTCTCCACGGCAGACGTGTGTTCCCCATGCAGCAAGAGGACACAGGCATGACCCTGACAGGGCCAGGCCACCTCATCCCAGCTTGGCTACCCAGTAGGAAGGCAGGGTCCTCCCCCCATGTCCAGGAAAGGGCTCACTCCCTGGGCTGGGGGACATGGCGTGTGATTTCTGGGCCTGGGTTTTGGGTGGCAGCTCGAACAGAACCACGTGGATGGGGAGAGGGCAGTTCCTGCACAAAGCAGGAACTGTCACCGGGAGAAGGGGGCAGGCGCCCTCCGGGCAGAAACACTCCGGCGGCAGCCACACCCTTCACTCACACCCACCGTCCCAGGATGTCCTGCCTGGCCCAGTGCAGTGTCTGATGTTCAACAGAACCACCTATTCCCTCCCCACCAGGTGGCAAGCCACACCACTCAGTGTGGCAGCAGGAGGTGACATCTGTGCCCGCTCTCTGGGGATGTCCACCTCCCTGAGCTCTGGCAAGGTTCTGCCCAGTGTCTGTAGCCACAGAGCAGAAGCTGGAACTACCCAAGGAAATACCTGAACCAGGACAGGAGAGGAAAGGGAGATGGCCCCAGGCAGGAAGCAACAAAGAGACCTTTCTCTCAAGAGGGCTTGCCTCTAGCCAGAGCTTCGGGTGGGTGGGTTCCAGCCCAGTGGGGCAACCCAACCTTCCTTCCTATTACGAGCCCCTGTGGCTCTTGCCCCTCTGGGGTTGCAAAGGTCTCCCACATACCCATCAGCATGTAGTAGAGGAACACCCCTGATGTCCCCATTTCCAGCCACACATGCCCTGTCCGACGCCAGCCAGACTGGCAACACCACACTCTGTTTCCCTCACTCACCTTGTGGCATGAGGAATGCTGAACAGCTCGCAGTCCCTGGGCTGGCATGATGTCCTCCTGTGGGCACCACACTGCAGACCAGCGCAGCGCTGAGTTAGGACGGTGGCAGGACAGGGCACTGGTGTGAGCATGAGAGGCCTCAATTCCTCTCCAACTCCTGCCTCCTGGACCCGAGACAGAGGTGGCACCTCAGACCACCCAGGCTGCATTCCCACTAAGCTTCAGATGCCAGGGGCAGGGGACAGGATGGGGAAGGCCCATGGTTCAGCTCCTTGCTGTCCTGAGAGATGAGCTTGGTCGCAGGGGCTGGGTGGGGTTTCCTGAGCAGATCTAGGGGTTCTCTAGGCCCGTGGCACATACAGATCCAGCGTAGTCCTATTCCTGATGAGGACAAATTGCTGCCTGCGCCATGACAGAAGGGGCCCCAGGTAATCAGTGCACCACACATGGCATCCAGGTCTCCTTGAGGCACGATGTCAGAGCTGGGATTGGAGGTCCCTTGTTGCTCCTGGGAACTGAGCATTCGTCAGTGGGGACCAGGCCGGCTGTGGGGAGGGGAGCTTCATCGTGGGGTCCTTGAGCATAACCTTCCTCCCTGCTCGCGGTGAGCCTATGGAGCTAGGGGAGGGAGATGATGGGCACCCTGGGGTGGGTCACGTGCCCATCTGACTACTGAGAACTCTTCCACGGTGGGGCCCCAGCGGCGCTCACCGGGCACATGCTCGGCCTCCGGGACAGCCCGGGGCGTCTGTCCACTCTCCTCTTCCTCAAGCCTCCCTCTGTCATTGGCTCTTCCCAAGTCCCTCACATCTGGTCAGATGCCAGCACTGCCCAGGACTCTGTGTAGATCTCGGCCTTGAACACGGGGACACACGCTCAACGTGCGACACGCAGGGAGGACTGTCTCGCACGACCGGGCTGCAAGGTCGCAGCCACGGGGCTGGCCTCCTGCAAGAGCCCCCGTACTAGGCTGCTGCCCCCTCGGCCGGCAGGCGATGGGGGTCCCGGCGGCAGGAGTTCCCGCCTGGCCTCTTCCTCGTGCGCGGACCGCTGGGTTTCCAGGACAACCACCGCCGATGCGGGATTCCTATCGCGCAGACAGAACACAGGCGTCAGGTTAAGTCCACGTTTCAGATGAAGAACGAGTCATTTCAGCACAAGTATATCCCAAATACTGCATGGAACATACTTACACTACGAATTATTTGTTCTTTATCTGAAATATGAATTTAAACCGGGCGTCCCGCACTTGACGCACCAACCTCATTCAGGAGTCTCGGGTTTGGCCACCAGCCCTGACACTGAGGCTGCGCGCACGTTCCGTTCCAGTTCCCCAGGAACGAGCTCTGATTGGCGAAGCTTGGGTCACGTGTTCACTGCAAAGCCAATCACTAGGCAGGGGCACCATGATTGGCCCGACCCGGGTCATGTGACTGGAGAGTGGCATGGCGGCCCACAGAGCCACGTGTGTTCGGGGTCACTGGTCGCAGAGGAGGCTCTTCCCGCAGCCCTAGGGACTTCTGGGGCCCGGGAACAATGGCCTCGCATAATCGTCGAGGGCTTTGGCCTTTCGGAGCCCCTCGGAGCTTCCGTACTGATCCTCTAGCGTTCCCCGGCCGCCCCACAGAGCCCGCTGCACCGAGCAGAGGCCGCCTAGGTGCTGGTGGCACTGGTTGCGCTGACGTGCCCTTGTCAGAGGGTACATGTTCCCTCCTGTCAGGGTCCCCTCCACGCCACCTCCAGCGTTCTACATCATCACTCTAGCACAGCTCGCCCAGCCCCACCCCCGCAGGCTCCCCAAAAGAGGAGCCCGAGGCCAAGAGCACTTCGCTCGGGATCAGAGGGAGCGACTGAAGGGCCCGGTGGTGAAAAATATAATTAGCCTGTCAGTGCGGAGTCTCCCCTCGCTGGTCTGCTCATCGCCGGCCCTGAGCCTGTTTCCTATAAGTGAAAACAGATTTCCTGACAAGGGGCAGGATCATAAACTTGTTCAAAGGCTCCCAAATAAAAAGGGTGGTTTTAACTTTCCCCTCTCAGCAAACCAAATTGTGAGGAGGCCTCTAGACCATTCCATCACCGCAGGAAGGGTTCAGGAGCCTGAGGCTCCTGGCTGCTGGGGAGCTTAGGGGAGAGGGGCTTTGGGAAGCCTCTGGTTAGGCCCACCCCCACTGCCATCTGGAACTCTTTTTCTCAGTGAAGACCCAGCCCCCAGCCCTAGGCTCAGTGAGAGCAGAGTTCCCACTGGCCTCCTGGCCAGTCTAACCCAGGGCCAAGAGCCTGGGCCTAGAGGTTGGTCTCAGTGTCACTGTTTTCTGATGTTGATGACCATGGAAGCTGGTTCCTACCTTCCAAACCCCTCGTCTTGCCTTCCTCTGAAAGCCGCCTTAGCTGAACTATCTTGTTCAGATTAAATCAGTATCTTGAAGCAACTATGGGTACCCCCAGAAGTAGATTCTGCCAGGGGTTGAGCTTCCTGGGAGAGGAGCAAGACTGCCCCCCTTTCTGGGGGTCCCGACCAGGGTTCCTTGGCCTGCAGTGCTCTGTACTAAGGAGGGGCCCTGTCTCGTGCCCTCCCTGGCAGCTTCTCTGCTGGAGCTCTGGGTTTGCAGGGTGCTGTGGCTTCTGTGCCAGCCTTGTTGCTTGCTGGGCTCTGAGCTTCTGGTGGGTGACGACTTTGTGTAATCTTCTCGATACTCCATCCTGGTGCCAGTCACACAGTAGGTCTTTAGTATGTACTTGTTGACATGGCAAACGAATAGACAGACAGACTGAAAGGCTGAGAAGGAAACAAGTTGTGCCCATGCCAGGAACAGATCACATCATTAGGGGTTGAGAAACAATATCGTGCACTGACACTGATGGGGTAAGGACATCGCAGGCCTCCCCTGGCAGGTGGCAGATTCAACGATGTTTAGGATGTTTGGAGTGGGCTGGAGGCGTTGGCAGTTTGCTCACTATCCCTGCTGTCCTGTTTAGGGAGACAGGTCTGGCACCCGAGCAGGTCTTGCCCTGAGCAGTACATTTTGGACCGGGAGGCCTGGGAGCTGTGTCAGTCCCTTGCCTTTTCTTTCTGTAGATGGGTACAATCTCCCTCGGGAGCCCCTCAAAACCAGACAGGAAACACCCATATGATTGGCCATGCTGTACTGATGCTGAGGTGGCCCACGCTGCAGTGTGCCTGAAAAGGCCATCTGAGCAAAGGAGAGGCGCAAAAGACACTGTCAGGAACGTGGAACCTAAGAATAGGGATGATTTTCCAAGTTCTGCAGCAGCACTAGGTGTCTGTGACCGTGTGGCCTGCTCCCTGCAAACCCTTTCCTGGGCTCTGAGCAGCTGCTCAGTTGCTGCTCTGGGTCCGGTGCTGCTTCCTGCTTTGGAAAGTCCTCGGCCCCGGGCCCTCAGGACTCCAGTGGGCTGAATAGCAGTCGAAATGTCACCTGGACTTCAGAATTGACATAAGTGCCTGGAGAGCTCCAGCCTCGCACCCGATCCCCACGGTACTGCACCAACACTGGGGGAGTTCGGAGGCCAGCCCTGCTCCTTTTTCTGCCTGAACAGGCAGAAAAAGTCTCGAGACTTCTTTGGGGGCGGGTAGGGACAAGAGGCCCTGCGGAGGGGGTGTCGAGACTGCAGAGAACAGCTCAGAGGGCCCAGGCCCTCCTCCACTGCCTGGCTTTCAGCTGTGCTGACTCCCGGGCCCTGCGGCAGTCTTGTCCCATCCCACAGCCAGGTGTGACCTGGTGTGGCCCATCTTTTGTGCTTTTAGTCACCAACCTGGCTTTGTGTTACTGCTGGAGCTGGTCGGAGCTGCTGGTGAAGAGAGTGGAGGAAGAGGGCCTGGTGCTGCCCATGCAGGCTTCTCAGCCCCTCCAGCCCCACGCCTTCAGGGCCCGGACACCTGGGTGCTGCCTCAAGTTCCTAGTCTTCTGGGCCTCTACCTCAGAGAGTCTCCCCAGAGGCCCTGTGCTCCGGCCACCCCTGCCCCCCCCCCACCATTGGGTCCCGGGCTAGTGTGGAGGGAGAGAGGCACATCTCTGGCTTGGGATCCTTCTCGCAAGGGTCGAGGGTGGATGCACCCCAACGCCTAGCATGGCTCTGAACATCCGTGGGGTAAGTGGACGCAGGCCCCCCATGCACTGCAGGGAGCAGACCCTTCAGGCCGTCCGCCCACACCTGGACAGTGGCAGGAGCGTGTCTCCTAGGCAGAGCGGCCCCATGTGAACAGTCAGGCTGGTGGGTCATCAGGGCCCAGCCAAGACCATAGTGTGGCTGGCAAGGGGACCAAGAGGCCTGAGTGCCCCAGACTCGGGAGGGGAGGAGGGCAGGGCTGGGGCACGAGGCTCCTGCCTGCCTCCTCCCTGATGTCTTGGGGCCCCCGTGTCGTCCTCTGTGAAATAGGGACCCCGAGTCTCTTGCCCCAGCCCTGCCATGAGACCAGGGAGAGATTCACAGGGGACCACAAAAGGGACTTCTGGACCGACATGCAGGCAGGGCCCAGGTGGCATCAGGATGCCCCAGCGCCTTTCCCTCGGCCCATGGCCCTAGGGAGGAAGGAGGCTTCACACTGCTTAGCTCCCACCTTCTCCGCGCCCTCCCAGCCGGCTGTGACCAGGACTCTGGGGGCACAGGGACAAGGCAGGGCCCTAGGCTGGACGTAGGGGAACTAGATTCCACTCTGCTGTCAGGCCAGGGAGCACGGGGGCTGGGGAAGGGTACAGAAGGCCCAAGGCTGCGTCCCTTGGCTCAGAGGAGAGAAGTGCTGGCCTGTCACTGGGACTCCAAGGGCAGTGGGATGGGGGGCAGTGGGACAGTGGGGCAGTGTGGAGGCCGAGACCCCCAAGTTCCTGCCACGGGCTGTTCAAGTCATTCTCTGGGGTGCCACCTCTGTCCGGTTCTTCAGTCCACACCCAGGGACCCCTCACTCACTGGAGACTGTGGGGGTCTGTGACCCAGAGACGCTGCCTGGACAGCCCCCGGCAACCTCGCCCGGGCTGGGGACGGACAATTAAAGCGCCCTGGTCCCCAATTGGCTGTGGTATTAAAAGCGAATTGCGATCAGCCGGGTTGTCATTTCTACCTGATAAAACATCACTTTTATTGATCCTGCTCACCCAGCACCATCATTCATCTTGCTCAGCATCTCACATAATGGCGAGTTTGTCTTGATCAAAGTGTAGCCGCGCACGGTTAACCCTCTGGGTGCCGCTGCCGTGCCAGCCCCCGCCACTGACTCCTTCCCAGGCCGCCCGCCCCCCACCCCCCCTGCCCCTGCTGGGCCCAGGCCCTGTTCTAGGGCAGGACGGTCTGGAAGGCAGGGACCACCCTGACTGAGATAAGGTGGGGAGGTGGGAAGGGACACTGGGAACAGGGGACCGGACCAGGCTCCTGTCCTGCCTCCCCACCCTGCTAGGGGCTCACCTGGGCCTGCTGTGGCCCCTGCTCAGCTGGGCACGGTGGCCACCTGCCTCCTGGGCCCATCCCCCGCCCACATTCCTGGGCCCACAGGTGGCACCTGCTTCAGCCAGGCCTCTCTCCTCCAGCCAGTTTCTGGCCTTCAGCCCCGACCTGTGCACCCCTATGCAGCCCTGGAGCTATCTGCTGGTGTCAACCTGTCCCCTCTTGACCCTGACCCCAGGTCACAGAGGGAGTCCCCAGTTTGGCTGCGGACCCTCTACTCAGAGCCCTCGGGAGTGCCCGCCGTCCAGCAGCGAGCAGGGTCCTGCTCTCGGGGTCCCAGTGATCTGCCTCTGCCGCTCTCCAGCACCAGCCTTGGCCCCCACCTGCAGGCCCTGGCTGCTCCTCCACCATCCACCACCCAGCCCCGGGGCCCTCCGGGTGCGCCCTGCTCTGTGGAGAGGCCAGTCCTGGCTGGGGCTTCCTCCCTGCTCTGCCCTCCCTGTCCTGGCCTGCACTCTGTCCCAGCCAGAAACTGCAGTCAGGGTCTCCCAAGCCCATAGGGGGTCTCTGGCCACACTCCAGTCCTTCCTCCCTCACCCACAACCCCATCCAGCAGGCTCCTTCACTCAGCCCTCGCTGGGTGCCCAAGGCTTCTGCCGGGCCACCCTCGCCTCCTGGCGCAGCCCTTGGCATCCGGCCTCTGGGCAGCCGGGCTGGAAAACCCCTCCACACTCACCTGCACGAAGGGCTGCAGGATCTGCGGGCAAGGTGTTCTGGCCTCAGGCACAGCGGACGCCAGGCGGGCGTGCCTGATGCCAGCAGCTTCCCAGAGTCAGGAGGTGGGAGACAAGGAGCTCCCCGTCCCGGCAGGTGCAGGGCAGGCCCTCTCCAGCTGGGGGTGCAGTGTACCCCCATTCCCGAAACACAACCCTGGCCTTGGGTCTATCTCTGGGCCATGCGTTTCTCCACTGAGCAGTCAGGACTGTTTACCCATCATGCCTTGCACGGCTGTCCGGCAGGAGACCGTTTGTTGAATGAATCTAGCCACGCCCTCCCTTGGGCGGGGTGGAGGGGGGGTGCTGTCCGGAAGCATTCATTCCTGGTGGCCACAGCACTCAAGTGGGCTCTGGGGACCACCCTGCCCCTTGTCCCCCTGCTCGTGGAGACTGACCCCACCCTCTTCCCCTCCAGGGGCACCCACCCCAGCTATGTGGACTGGCTCAGGCTGGACAGGTGACTGACCTGGCTCTCAGGTGAGATCCACCAGGAAAGGCAACCTCATCTTGGGAGGAGGCTCCAAGCCTAAGGGCACCCCAAACCCACTCTGGCTCTATGTCCCCTGCTGGCCCCAGGCCCAGTGCCCTAAAGGGCTTCTCTTGGGCTAATGGAGGGGGTGGGTGGTGGGTGTGGAGGCCTGGCCGGGAAGCTCCAGTTCTGGGACCCCTGGAGCCGGGGGTTCGCCGGGGAGTAACCGTGGGACGCACACCCGAGCTCGGCAGTCAGGATTCTGGGCTATGGAAAACCTGTACAATAGTTCATATATTTATTCTTAAGCAAGTTATCAATAAAAAATTTAATACTAAAATGCCTTTACATAGAGTTTGCTGTTCATAAAACCTTTGTGTTTTTGTTTGTTTTGTTTTTAGTGTTTACATTGAAAAAAAAAGATCCAACCATCCTCTTAGTTTACACATTTACAAGAATCGTGCTTTTGCCACGTTTAACCACGGATAGAGGGAGGGTCACGCCACTCGCACACACACACAAAGAAGGGAGGGGCGGGAGACGGAAGGACGGAGGAACCCGGCAGGAGGGGGCCGGCCCGGAGAGGGCCCTTCCCCTCCCGCCCTCGCCTCAGCACTCGGGCTGTAAAATGGCCTCAATTCTCCTCCCAGCGTCTCAACTGTCCCGACCGACTCGGGGCCTTCGTGCCTGGCCGCAGTTTTCTTCCTGTGACATCTTTGTGGTTCCCAGGCCTCGGGCGGGACCTTGGCCGACCGTCTTCCCGACACCCACCAGGACGACATATTGCACTCGTGCCAAGACAAGGGGTAAACTCGGGGTGGGAGCGGGAAAGCTGGGGGGTCCCCATCTCAAAGCGGCCCTCTGCCACCTGGAGCGTCCTGTGGAGCCACTGGGAGGGGCCCCCGGGGGCCTGCAGCAGGCCCTGGAGGAGAGTGGGTTCCTGGGCGGCCTGAGAAAGAAGTGGGGGCCGAGAGGGCCCGGGGTTGGGGTGTGGGGCCCCCATGACCCCTCTTTCGAGGGACCTGGCTGTGGCTCACACGCAGCTCATCCCAGAGCAGCAGCTGCCTTGGGGGGCTTCCCTGCAGCTCCCTGCGGGGCCAGGAGAGCCTTGTCGGGACAGACATGGGGAGCACGTGGCCCCGGACGCCTTTCTGAGAATGGGGGCTGCGGCTGCAGGTCCGGTCCGGCCGGCCCTGTCTGTCCTTGTCAACCGAGGGAGGAGGGAAGGGGTGCGGAGTTCTCCTGCGTTTCTGGGGCCAAACCCCGAGGGGTGCTTCCTGCACGAGGGGCCCGGATGTGGGCACAGGCGGGCAGGAGGGACCCTGGCTCTGCCCCCGGGCACTTCTGCAACAGGCCATCTGGTGGCCGCAGAGAAGGCCCAGAAACCTCATGGGGACCCCCAGCCGGGGTGGGTGGTGAGGGAGGACCTGTCTTTTATTTTTTTGTCCCCCAGTCCTGAACCTCTGGCCTGGCCTTGTCACCGTCCCAAGCCCTGAGCAGGCCAGCGAGGTTGGCCAGGGGTTTGGGGGCACCGGGAAGGCGTCTGGGGAGGAGGTGAGAATGAAGCAGGTGGAACTCCCAGGCCACCTGCTGCTCCAGGAGAGGACGGTGGGGGCCGGAGGGTGAGGAGGGCGCAGAGGTGGGGGAGGGGCCGGCCCCGCCCTGCTCCGGGAGGAGGCCGGACTCCTTCCCCTAGGACTAACTGGCCGTGGAGACAGAAATCAGATATAAACTGGAATATTCAGGAAATAAAAATCAAAACGTCACTTTTTCTTATGGATACTTTGAATTGTTTGTTCGTGTTTGTTTCGTTTTAAACAGAGGTAAGATGCACGTGGCCGCTGCCACTCTCGGGCCGGGCGCTGGTCCTGTTTGCGTTTGCGCCGGAGCCTGGAGCCCCTTCGCCGCCGCCGCCCTCCTCGCCAACCCCCCCAGGACTATTTTCCTAGGAGACGCATTGACAGGAAGTAAACTCGAGTGTGACTTTCGCCTCACACAGCAGCCCCCCAAGAGATTAGAGGGTGCCCCCGAGGGTCCCACCTGACCCTCCCGTGGCCTTTGCCCTCTGCCCCCACCCCAAGCTGCCTCTGTCGTCACAGACGGCCCAGTCGGAACTCAGCTAGGCTGAGGAGAACAGTGCATTTCCGAAGGGAGCCCCCAAACCCGGTCCCTACACACACACACCCGCGCGCGCACACACATACACACACACACACACACACACACCCTCGTCACTCGGATGGGGAAAAAATCCTTTTCCACTTTTCTCCGTAAAATTTCCCCGCAGAAGTACAATATTTACATAGAGCAATAAATAGACAACACACCTGATTTCTGCTTTCCCTGGTGGGAGACAGTCGGAGGTACTAGGGGAATATGGCTTGGATTCTAATCTCTCGTGAACTGCCGATGCGGAAAACAGAGCGCCCGCGTGGGGCCGGCGGGCGGGCGGGCGGGCGGCGGGGTCCAGGCAGGGGCGCAGCGCCACCCTCTGCAGCAGATGGGACAGGACCGGGCCCTGCGGCCGCCGGCCAGCCGGGGGGCTCTCTCTTTCCAGGGAAATCACAGGGGAGCGCGGAGCCTCCGGGCAGCTGGTGCATCTGCTCGGACACCCCTGGCGCTCGGCCTGGCCTCTGGGCGCCGCGGGTCGGTGTGGGTGCCAGGCGGGCTCAGCACAGGATGGGCACACCGTCCACCGTCACCAGGCGCCCCGTGGTGGGGTCGTAGGTGCCGGCCAGGTAGTAGAGGTCCTGCCGGTCCTGGCACTTGCGGCTCCGCGCCATCTGCTCGTACTGCTCGCGCCCCACGACCTGGCACTTGTGGGAGATGGTCTGCACGTCGTTCTCGTCCTCGTGGCAGGACTGGTACAGCGCGTTCTGCGGGCGGGGCGCGGAGGGGGTCGGCGGCCAGGATCCGCCGGCGTGCCCCCCCACCCCCCCGACAGCCCGGGGAAAGGACCCCCGCCCGCCCTGGCACGGTCACCGCAGGAGCTGGTGCTGGGGACCCTCGGGGCCTGTCAGAACGGGGGGACGCTTGTTCCCCTAAAGATGGGCTCCTCCCAGCTGTCTGAAAACGCGGTTTCTCCCCAGGGGAGGGGGAGAACAGCATGCTGCCGGGCGGAGGCGGGAGGGGGCCCACGGGCCAGGAGGGGCTGCCGCAAATCCCCGGAGAGAGCTGGGGGTGCTAAGTGCTGCCGTGGCCACCGCCCCATGGGTGACACTGTCACCCACTCCGCAGGGAGCCAGGGAGGCACAGCTGGCCGAGTGGCTCCCGCAGGGCCTGGGGCACCTCTGGCTGGGGGGGGGGAAGAGCTGCCCGCAGCCTGGCTGTGGCCCCGCTGGCCGCCCTGCCGCGCTCACCTTGCCGTCGCACTGCCGCTTGCCCAGCTTGGTCTCCTCGGGGTGGTAGAACCACTTGACCTTCACCACCATGTTGCTGCCCCACGACTCCCACATGCTCTCGATGCGGCCGATGTAGGGCAGGTTGGGCCGCCCGGCGGACAGGAAGACCGCGCAGTCCCCGACCCGCAGCGTCTCCTTGCCCCGCACGATGGCCTTGTAGAATAGCTTCCTGGCCTTCCCCTTCATGCCGCGCCGCTGTGGGGACACGGGGCAGGGCGATGAGGGGCCCGGCATGGCCGGGAGAGGGCGTGTCCTGCAAGTGCGTGTGTGTATCTGGGTGTACTCGTAGGCAGGGGCGTGTGTCCTGCGTCGTGGGTGAGTGTGTGCTGGGCACCCGCCAGGGAGAGAAACCCCGGCCATTGCTGGAGGGAGGCCCCGCCGCGGGTCCCGGAGGAGACAGCCAGGCCCGGGCGACCCTGGGTCGGGGCATCTGGACTGACGATAAAGGAACACCGGGTCTTGGCCGGGCATGGTGGCTCACGTCTGTAATCCTAGCACTCTGGGAGGCCGAGGCGGGCAGCTTGCTGGAGGTCAGGAGTTGGAAACCAACCTGAGCAAGAGCGAGACCCCTGTCTCTACTATAAATAGAAAGAAATTAATTGGCCAACTAATATACATAGAAAAAATGAGCCGGGCATGGTGGCGCGTGCCTGTAGTTCCAGCTACTCGGGAGGCTGAGGCAGGAGGATCACTTGAGCCCAGGAGATTGAGGTTGCTGTGAGCTAGGCAGACGCCACGGCACTCACTCTAGCCTGGGCAACAAAGTGAGACTCTGTCTCAAAAAAAAAAGAAAGAAAAAAAAGGAACACCGGGTCTGGCCTCGGGGACCTTGTGTGGGGCGCCCACCAGCCATTCACACTGGTCCTCGGCAGCCCTCCCGGCTGGCGGCGTGGAAATGCCCACACAACACAGTGCCGACAAAGGGGCACACGCCCTGGCGCAAAAGCCGCCGCAAGCTCACGGAGGACGCGCTGGATGGTGGGAGGGTGTTTGTTCTACCGCTCTCGCGACAGCGTGCCACAGCTCTACTCGACGGAGGAGGAAGGGACGGGCAGGGCTGGGGCCGGTGCCCCCGCTTCCTCACCCGCCTGTCCGTGTCCTCGTCCTCCTCCGGCTCCTCCACCTCCTCCTCCTCGGGCTCCGTGTCCACCTCCAGCCTCTGCTCCTCGGACAACGAGGACTCGTCCTACAGCTCGGACGACGAGGACCCCGCCCTGCTGCTGCAGACCTGCCTCTCCCACCCCGTGCCCGCCCTCCTGGCCCAGCCCGAGGCCCTGCGCGCCAAGGGGGGCCCCCACGCGCACGCCCAGCGCTGCTTCCTGTCCAGGGCCGCGGTGGCCGCGGGCGCCGGCCCCGGCACGGGCAAAGCCAAGCTCAAGCGCAAGGAGGCCCTGAGCTTCTCCAAAGCCAAAGAGCTCTCGCGGAGGCAGCGGCTGCCCTCCGTGGAAAACCGGCCAAAGATCTCAGCCTTCCTGCCTGCCCGGCAGCTCTGGAAGTGGTCAGGGAACCCCACGCAGGTAGGTGGGCTAGTTCCTCTCCACCTGGGCAAGGTGGGGGGGTCCCTGGCGGAGCTCCCGGTTCTGGGAAAGCCAGCCCTACCCTGGCCCCGTCACCTGTCCCGCTCTCCTTTCCTTTTCTGTTCCACTGCAAGTAAAACGTGGAAGACGGCCGGGAGCAGTGGCTCACACCTGTAATCCCAGCACTCTGGGAGGCCGAGGCGGGCGGATTACTCGAGATCAGGGGTTCGAAAGCAGGCTGAGCAAGAGCAAGACCTCGTCTCTACTAAAAATAGAAAGAAATTAATTGACCAACTAAAAATACATAGAAAAAATTAGCTGGGCATGGTGGTGCAGTGCCTGTAGTCCCAGCTACTCCGGAGGCTGAGCGCAGGAGGAATCGCTTGAGCCAGGAGTTTGAGGTTGCTGTGAGCTAGGCTGAAGCCATGGCACTCACTCTAGCTGCTGGGCAACAAAGTGAGAAAAAAAATATATATATATGGAAGACTGGGAAAGACAAACACCCTCCACCGTCCAGCGCGGTCCTCCGTGAGCTTGCGGCGGCTTTTGCGCCAGGGCGTGTGCCCTTTGTTGGCACTGTGTTGTGTGGGCGTTTCCACGCCAGCCGGAGGCTGCCGAGGACCAGTGTGAATGGCTTGGTGGGCCCGCCACACGAGGTCCCTGAGGCCAGA